CATCCCTTCCCTTCACGCCTCCCAACTGTTCCCTCCAACCCCCTCCCCCGATAGAGTGTCTTGTACATCTCATTGTTGCCATGGGTCAACCTGTATCCTTTCCTTGTATCTTAAATGAAGAAATGCTGATTGATTTGTGCTGATTCTACTTGTGTAGACACACCTAAGATCACTCGCCAAGTCCAAGAGCACATAATTCACATGCACATCATTTTTTGTCATTTTGGTATAATTGTGTTCTACACATTTATTGACAGGTTACAAATTATTCTCAAATTTTAATACATTAAAATACTTTCTTTTTGTCTTATTTTCTTGACCATGAAATCAGCAAGACCTCAGTCAGCATTTCTCACATAGGACTTTTCACATGAGTTTGTTAAATGTTGACCTGAGCTCCAATCTTCTGAGGACTCACTCATCTGCTTAAGAATTGATGCTGGCTGTTGGAAAAGAACTCAAGGAAGAATGCCATTTAAAGCCTTATAACTTTATTCTGTACCAGGGTATTTTCCTGCTACTTTGGTTTTTGAGAGTGTCTACAAGAACTAGCATTTCCTGGGGAGCAAGGAGACGCCATATGACGTTTACTTACTGAGATTTCCGATTGACTTGCTATCACTTGTACTGCATTTTGAAAGTCGAATGTGTCAAAACCTACCCATTTGAAGAGATAAGAGGAGATGCTGGGAAGATGGCTCAGTGGTAGAGTTCTTGCTTTGCATGCATAAGGCCTGGGTTCAATTCTTCAGCACCACATAAAAAGAAAAAGCTGGAAGTGGTGCTGTGGCTCCAGTGGTAGAGCACTAGCCTTGAGATGAAAAGCTGAGGGACAGCGCCTAAGACCAGAGTTCAAGGTCTACACTGGGGTGGAGCTTGTATTGAGTACATAACAAACTGCTTCATGTATTTGGCAAGTTACCTGTCTCCAGTGTGCCGTAAGAATAGGACTATCATATAAATTAATAAATTACTTTAAAAAAAGAGATAGGAGTGGTAAAAAAATTTTTAGAGACAAATACATCTTCAACATATTTGATTCCAAACATTATGTCTAAGGCATATTCAACAAGTAGTGAAACTTGTGTTGTCTGTAACTATGTGTCTTTCTCCATGTGTGCATGTGTACATGTGTGTATGTATGTATTTTTGTGTATAGTAACATGCATGTATACATATATAAGGGCATATACACACATATATGCATTTAAAAATAAATATACATATATAAATATATGTGTATATATTTATATCAGTTGTTCAATGATTTAATCTATAGTTCCCAGCACATTGTCATTCTCACAAAGTGTACATGATAAACTGCTCTGAGGTTCCGTGCTCTATGATGGGCATCCTTTGTAATCACTTCCCCCATTACCTGGTTTTTCATCCCTGAATATATTCGGCCTACTTTCCACAGGAAAGCATTGTTTTCATTACATGTATTTACTTAAAATAAAAGAAAAAGGTCGTTTGTACAAGAAAAAAGAAAACGAACTTTTAGGTCAGAGGTTAAAAGTATCCTATCCGTTTCAATGATTCCTATGAGATAAAATTTATAACAGTAGTAAAAGTGAAAAGGAATTCCTAGATCTGTTGTTTTGCCATTTAGAATAGAAATGAATAACATCACGTCACTGTTATAACTCTTAAAGAATGCAAGGGTAACGGATGGTCGCTATCATGTTCCCACAAAACCAGTGGATTCTGAAGGATAATAGTAGACCAGCAGAAATTCTTTTTTTTTTTATTGTGAAAATACTGTACAGAGGGTTTATAATTACATGGGCAAGACGGTGAGTACATTTCTTATCAAGCAGTGTAGCCTCCTCCTTTGTTTACCCTTCCTATCTCTTCCCATCTTTCCTCCCACCCCTCCTCTCCCCCCCACAAGTTGTAAAGTTCGATTTTGACATGACAACTTGTACTTCTCATTGCTGCAACAGGTCCACCTGTATCCTTATTTAAACGACTTGTTTTTCCACTTCCCCGCCACAAATTATACAGATATCAAATATAGTGAAAGCAGGGGTTATACTGTAGGGGAGGGACATATTAGGGTGAGGTGGTATGACAATGTTGTTTTGATTTGCATTTTTTTATGGCTAGGGAGGTTGAGCATTTTTTCATGTGTCTATTGGCCATCCTTCTTTCTTCTTCAGAGAAGTTTTTCTTTAAGTCATTAGCCTACTTATTTATTGGGCAGTTGTTTCTTTGAGGATTTATTGTTGGGGGATTTAATTTTTTGAGTTCCAAGTATATTTTAGATATGAGACCCTTGTCCGTTTTATGGCTAGTGAAGATCTTCTCCCAATCTGTGGGCTTTCTATTGATCTTGCTAGCTATGTCCTTTGCCATGCAGAAGCTCTGCAACTTCATGCAATCCCATTTGTCCAACCTTTCATTGATTTGTTGTGTTTCCGGGTCTCTATTCAGAAAATTTCAGCCAGAGCCAAGGAGACCTAGGGTTTCTCCTATTCCATCCTGTAATGTTTTCAGAGTGTCTGCTTTGACTCCGAGGTCTTTGATCCATTTGGAGCTGATTCTGGTGCAGGGTGATATATAAGGATCTAGCTTTAGTTTTCTACAAATAGTTAAGCAATTTTGACAGCACCATTTACTGAAGAGGCTGTCTTTCTTCTATTTTTTTAGCTCCCTTAGCAAAGATTAGATGACTATAGGTCTTTAGGTTCATTTCTGGGTTTTCAATTCTATGCCATTGGTCCTGAAGTCTGTTCTTGTGCCAGTACCAAGCTATTTTGATTACTATGGCTTTATAGTAGAGTTTGAAATTTGGTATTGATATTCCTCCAGCAGTGTTCTTTCCATTGAGGAGCATTTTTGTTATTCGTGGTCTTTTATTATTCCATATGAATTTTTGGATTGCCTCTTCTATTTCCTTGAAGAATGAGGTTGGAATTTTGATAGGTATTGCATTAAATTTGTAGATAGCCTTGGGAAGTATTGCCATTTTCACGATGTTAATCTTTCCAATCCAGGAGCATGGGAGTTTTTTCCCATTTTCTAAGTTCTGTTTTGATTTCCTTTTTCAAGTTTTTAAAGTTTTCACCATAGAAGAGCAGCAGACATGGAGCATGAAAGAGAAAGAGAGAAAATGGGAGAGTGAAAGAGAAAGAGAAATATCACAATACTGAAAGTGCATAACAGATAAACAAGAGCAGTATGAGAATATTCATACGGCTGTCTTTAGACTCTACATATACATTTGAAGGTATTTGATGTATGATAACCCATCAAAATGAAATATAAAGTTATTTTGTTAAAAATAAAAATGTCTCAGGAGAAATTTTAAATGTAAAAACAATCTTCATGGAAGCAAACTCTGAGCTATTTCATGACTTTGAAAAGGATAAAGTGGTTGAAGTTAGTATAAATTCAGAAGTATGACCATTCACAATGATATAAAAAGGTATTCATATATTTAATAACATAATCCAAAGCAGAAAGCAAATGTTGGATAATTGATTTTTTAAAAAACATTCTGTCAGGTGCTTGGAAGGTGGCTCAGTGTTAGAGTGCTTGCCTTGCATGCATGAGGCCCTAGATTTGATTTCTCAGCACCACATAAGCAGAAAAAGATGGAAGTGGTGTTGTGGTTCAAGTGGTAGCACTAGCCTTGAGCTGAGGGACAGCACCTAGGACCCAGAGTTCAAGCCCCATTACCAGCAAAATCAAAATATAAAACAAAACTAAACACAGTCTCTCACTTTTGTGGCCTCAACTCTTTAAAATCACTGCTTCAGCCTCTGGGTAAGATTTTAGGTGTGGACATTTATCAACATTCCTGATTCAGACTCTACTTCATAACTTTTTAAATAAATATTTTGTTCTTAATTTTCCTCTTCATAAATTCACATGCACCTATAAAAAATGGTTTGGCCATCCCAGTAACCTTCTCCAAGCACTTCATAATGATGACTTACAAAAAGTTGTATTATATTACAACAAGGAAAACAATGCTACAAATAAGAAAAACCAACAATTAAATATTAATGATTAATAAAATGAAAAACAAAACAATTACCAGTGTTTTCAGTATTTGAAGCGTACTACGTATTAGATTTTACTATTTTCTCATATTCCTGTACATTTAAAACTGCCTAAGATTATGATGTTCAACAAGAGTTTTAAAGGCTATGAGCAGTCTTTAAAGTTACCCATTAAGATTACTATTTATGGCTCATCTCATCATTTGTATATGGCTTATATCATCATTTGTTCCTCACTAACATCTAAAATAAGGAAGCCCTATATTTTTAATAGAAACTATGTAGTTAAAAGTCTTAACTCTTTATTCTGCTCCTTTACACAAAGACTTTGCAACTTCTCATTAGTAAAATTTCTATAAACTCTGAAATGTACATACTTAGTAGCATATGTCTGCTACCATAAATCTTAAATACTTTATCAAAAAGTTTTATGACCTGGGGCTGGGTAGGTGGCTCAGTGGTAGAGTGCTTGCCTTGCATGCATGAAGCCCTGGGTTCGATTCCTCAGCACCACATAAGCAAAAAGAAAAAAGTTGGAACTGGCACGTTGGTTCAAGTGGTAGAGCAGTAGCTTTGAGCTGAAGAGCTGAGGGACAGCGCCCAGTCCCAGAGTTCAGGCCCCACTCGCAGACTCCCACACCAAAAAAAATTTATGTCCTGCCAAACAGTCCTAGTTTTGGCATATATAAGCAAATTCCCAAAATTAAAAATGTTTAAAACACTAAAACTTAAAAAAAAACCTTAACACTTGCTTCAGTGTTCATTATGACAGGTGCCTTGTATAAAATAGTTGAATTCCTCCTCTTACACATCTCTTGAACAACAAATATCTGGAATTATTTTGTTTTTGACATGTCAGTCTTTATTCTTAAATGTGTGCTTATGTAAGAAGTACATGGTTCTAAAATTTCGTGGCAATTCTTTTGAGCTTACTTTTTGTTGAATTGTCTAGTTTAAGAAAATAAATTACACTTTATATATAAAAAATGTTCTATGCTCAATTCAGCATAAAGTACTCTAACATTGGAACAATACAGAGAAGATTAGAATGGCCTCTGAGAAAGGATGACAGGCAAATTCCTGAACCATTCCATACTTTTACAACAACAGATGCTGGAGGGGATGTAGCCACAAGAGAACTGTACTGCATTCTTGGTGGGAGTGTAAACTTATTCAACCCTTTGGAAAGTACTATGGAGGTTCCTCAAAAGACTCCACATAGAGCTCCCCTATGACCCAGGAATCCCACTTTTGTGCATTTACCCAGATGATCACAAACAAGACCACACTAAAGCTACCAGCACAACTATGTTTACTGCAGCATTATTTACCATCGCTAAGATCTGAAACCAACCCAGATGCCCCTCAGTAGATGAATGGATCAAGAAAATGTGGTATTTATACCAATGGAATTCTATGCCTCCATCAGAAAGAATGGCATCGCCCAATTTGTTAGAAAATGGAAAGACTTGGAAAAAAATATTAAGTGATGTAAGCCAGATCCAAAGAAACATAGGCCCTATGTTTTCCTTAATTTTTAATAACTATTTTATGTCTGAGATAAGCAGAAAAGGTTAAAAGCTTTGCACATATGACCAGATTAGGCAAATCAAACCCAAGATAGGAACACACGTGTGTTTTTCTCTTGCTTGTTATTGATTCTAACGTACTTATAACAGGTGATGTGTTTTTTTGTTTCTTTATATGTTCCTCCCCCATGCTATAACCCGTTTACACTGTATTTGAAGTTGGTGCGCCCACATCTTGTATATACGTTCCTCTAATTTGGGGAGGGAAAGGAAAAAAAACAAGATGCTTAAATAGGGATACAGGTTGACCCATTATAACAATGAGATGCACAAGACACTATGATGAAAAATGAACTTTACAATTTAGGCAGGGGAAGTGTACTTAGGGAGGGGAGTGTGCTTGTAGAGGTGGGAGGGAAGGGATGGTAGGGGAACATAAAGGAGGAGGTAACAATGCATGTTAGGAAATGTACTCATTACCTTGCTCATGTAAATGTGACCCCTGTGTACAGAATTTTACAATAGAAAACTTATAACATGTTCTGAGATGGAAGAGTTTATTTCCTTTATTTTACTCATATAATATTGTTAACAAAGAAATTAATGCAAAACACTAATATGAAAATATTTTGAATGTGTGTGTGTGTGTGTGCAAGAGCGTGTGTTCTCATCCAATTGCATGTATGTTGGTGTGCTCAGAGTTTGAAATCAGGGCTTCAAAGTCTTGTTAGGCCTTTCCTCTCTAGATTGGTGATCTACTATATGAGCTACATCTCCATTCCTGGCCTGTTGCTAATTCATTGAAATTTTTGAAAAATAATCCTATGAATTTATTTTTCCCTCATTGGTTTCCAACTGTTATCCACAGATCTCTAGCTTCAGTGTTGATATGGCGAATAGTTAGGTTTACAGATGTGACCAGCCAGCGCAAGTCTTTTAGAATAATTTTAAAAGTAGAAGAAAGTTTACTTCACGGGGTCCTGTTTTATCATTTATTTTTAAAGCATTTTGGAGTGATTATATGCAATTTTTTTTCGTTTTTTTTGATTCTTAACACAATAAGTGAAAATATTTAAAAGTTTTAGTACTTTTTAAAAAGGAAACAGGAACTATGGGACTGAAAAAATTTTTCTCTTATAAACTCAGCTCTGTGCACGATAACCCAATGTCACCAACACAATCTGTTTTGAAGACCAAATGTAACAGAAAACTATCACCATGGGCAATAATTGCTATGCTATTATTTCTTGGAAATATGAATATTGAATTGAGAGTGTAAGAGAATGGAGAGATTTTACCTACCTTTTGTGTATTGCTGAAAGACTTTTGGAAACTTTGACTCATTTCTTTGCTCAAAGTGTGTGTTTGAGCCATGCACTTACTGCCTTTAATTACAAATTTTCCAAACACTAAAATGGTAATAACATTAGCTTTATAGAAAATGTTATCTTAAGAATTAAGGGAAATAAATCTTGTGAAATACTTAACACAAACGTCTATGAATGAGTTTGAGTTTAGCCAGAAGTTTTTAAAATACTAAAAAGAATGCGATAAGTATTACAGAAACCATTACATGTAGTGAGCAATCAGAAGTAATGTTATCTATTGACCATGCTCTGCTTCCAAGGAAGCCAGGTGGATAACTTCTCATGCTGTAAATCAAACTGGTTATCTTATGTCTTGTGTGTGTAAAAATATCAGGGACAGAATGATGAAGGAATGTTGTAGACTGAGGTGAAGTCCATATGAAAATGTGCAAAACTGATAAAACATAAAAGTATCTTAGTAGTAAATTGTGTTTTACATTATTTAAATTACATCACAAAGATAAGAAAGACCTAGAAAAATGAATTCTCTTTTTGATGTCCTATCATAGGTCCTTGGATCAACTCTTTCCTCATTCTTGTAGAGGTATCATCAGATGAGATGAACTATATTATTTTTTTGTTTGTTTCCTTCCATTTATTCTTCATTTGACACCTCAACTAATTGAGACTGAAAGAAACCAAGGGAAATTAGACACACAGGCTTTGGAAAGAACAATCAATGTAAAATAAATAAAACACATACAGCCTTGTAAAAAGTCTGACTAAATTGAGTTATATAGTCTCAAGCGTCAACAGAAAATGATTAAGAAATATCATGCTATTGATAATTGAAAATGATAGGAGTTGCTTAATATTTTTCCTTTCTACTACTTTGAATTAATTATTGATTTTGTATAGAGAGATTAAAGATGAGATTAACAAGAACTAGATTAAAAATGGACAAAAGATCTGAATAGACATATTCTTCTTAAAGCCCTGAAAAATCGCCAGTAAGTTTACAAAGTTGTTTAATACAACTCCTATGCTGGCTTAATGTTTTGTGAGCAGAAGTCATTAGAGAAATGTAATTCAAAATTACTATGATACTACTTCATAACTACTATAACTTTTATCAAAAAGACCAAAGGAATCAGGTGTGGTGGCAAAAGATTTTAATTCCAAGCATTTAGGAGGTTGGATAAGTCTAAGGCCAGTCTGGGGTACTGCACATAGCAAAAACCAGCACTTTATTACCTTTTAACAAAGGTAATAATGTTGGTGAGAGTGTGGAGAAAAGGAGATTTTCTACACTCTTCTTCAAAATACAGATTAGTGTTCTCCTTGCAGAAAGTAATATGCAGTTTTCTATAGAACTCCAAAGTTAAAATATCATCTGCCCCACCAATCATGTGATTATTTCTCTCTGGGTAACTCAAATATATCTGTAGTTCATTGTTATTCACATCATTCACAACAACAGCCAATATATAAATCAAAGCTCAGTGTTCAACTACAGACTAATAAAACAACCGTGATACATGCACAAATATCTTTCTCTGTTTCATTCTTAAAATAGCAAGATACTTATGCCATTAGCCACAACTTACAATGACTTGAAAGATGTATTCTAAATGAAGAAAAATAATGTACTCTGATCTTTGTAAACACACACACACACACACACACACACACACACACACACACACACACACACACACACACACACACAAACCAACCTCAAACATTAAGAGAGAAATTTTTTAAAAAGTAAAGTGGAATTACTGTGGCATTTAGGTCACGATGTAGAAGATAGTAGATATACTGGTTGAACCGGTATAGAGTCGTAATGTACAACATGAAGATACAGGGGACAACACTGGCCTTACATAGGAATGAAGCTAAATTAGTACGAGTTGTTTTTCCGAGTAGGGGTTGCTCTTTTATTTGTTCTTCCTTCAGTAATGGATAAGATGAACGTAATTCTTTAAATATTCCTGCCTATTTGTAGAAATAATAACAAACAATATAGCAATAATGTTGCATGCTCAACATAGAACAAAATGTCAAATTAAACTACATGAGATTATCCTTGATGTAAACTAATTATTACAAATAAAAGAAACCATGGGACCTATGTTTCTTTAAGTCTGGCTTACTTCACTTAATATGATTTATTTCCAAGATCTTCCATTTCCTCAAAAATGAGATGGTAGCTTTCTTTCTGATGGAAACATAGGATTTTGTGTGTGTATGTGTGTGTGTGAGTGTGTGTGTGTGTGTGTGTGTGTGTCCAGTCGTGGGGCCTGAACTCTGGGCCTGGGCGCTTTCCCTCAGCTCTTCAGCTCAAGGTTAGCACTCTACCACTTGAGCCACAGCGCCACTTCCGGCTTTTTTTCTTTTTGCTTATGTGGTGCAGAGGAATCGAATCCAGGGACACAGGAATGCAAGGCAAGTGCTCTACCACTGAGCCACTTCCCCAGCCCTAGAAGCATAGTAGTGCATGTATGTATATCTCTCTGTTGTGTGTGTGTGTGTGTGTCATTTTCTTGATCCATTCAGCTACTGAGGGGCATCTGAGTTGATTCCATATCTTAGCTAGGGTAAATACTACTGTAATAAACATAATTGTGCTGGTAGCTTTAGTGTAGCCTTGTTTGTGGTCACCTTGTTAAATGCCCAGAAGTGAGATTACTGGGTAATAGGGGAGCATTATTGTGTACATCAAGGATAACCATAGTAGATGAGCAGATTAGCTCAAAGCTATGTACATGTGACACTATAAGGTGATTCCAAGTGAAATAAACTCCAATACATGTTCTTTGTTGTTGTTCTTAATGTACTATGGGATTTGTTTTTATTTTTGTTTTATTTGTGTTTTCCCCACCTATGGTTTATCGCCTGAAGTCACTGTATTGGATTTTGATGCCCTGTGTATTGTAATTATGTTGATCTGAACTTGGGAAAGGAAATAGAAAAAACAAAATGGTGAGACAAAGGACAAATGGGTAACCTAAACAACTGTGATACTCACAAAACAAAATGTTGGAAATAATCGTGGGGGGGCATTGGGATGGAGGGAGAAAAATTGGAGAAGGGGTAACAAGTTATAAAAGAAATGAATTCATTACCTTACTTATGTAACTAACCCCCCCCTGTACTTTATCTTGACAATACAATTTAAATAAAAAATAAAATAAAATATATGTGAGCAGCAATACAGGAGATATGAGTGGGGGCAACAGCTGTGGAGATCAGTATTTTACT